TACAGGAAAGACCAGGTGAGCCAGTCGACGGCATCCTGTTTGCTTTCGATGGTTTTCAGTACAACTTCAGCATTGACGTGGTCTTGCAAGTGTTGTTCAAGTTGTGATTCAATAGGCAACGGCTCAAATATGAATTTCTTATAATATTCCCTCTTACTCGATGGACAGAGAAGCACCACATACCCATGCTTGTCGATACCAGGGCGAGTCGCCCGGCCCAACATCTGCAGCACGTCTGCAATGGGGTAGTCTTCGTACCTGCAGCGTAAAGCATAAAGAGAAAAAAAAGAATAACTGAGGCATTGAGAGCAACGTGTTGCTCCCCTCGTGCATGCGCACGCATGGTGACCCTCATACGGATGGCTGCAACTGTTGGTAGACACTGCAACGCTCCTCTCTGTCTATCTGTATTCTTCTTTAGCATGATTTGAATTGAGTTATGGTGATTTCAGTTGCTTAATGAATATGAAATTATACAAAGACGCACCCGTTCTCCGTGAATCGTTTGGTGTCGACAACAACAACCAGATGGGAGCTCATCTGAAGGCCCCATGCAGATTCCTCCGCAACAACAACAACTTGAATGGCCCCGCTGGAGTGCAGCTGCTGCACCAGCAGACGTTCAGCAGCAGACAAACCAGAGTGGTACAGGCCGACCCCGTATGAGAGCGTTTCCAACAACATTTTATCGCGCACGATCGATGTGTACTGTTTCATCGTGTCATCTGCAACAGCGCAGGAGAAAAACAATAAACAAAAGAGATAAGAACTTCAACACAGAGCAACTGTTAATCCATACATTCAAAAAAAAAGAATTCCAGCTCCATTGAACCACTGAAACACATAGTTAAGGTCGCTTGCCTGATACGTGCAGATACTTCTTAGGCTGATCGTCCGCTGCTGTTTGCAGCAAAAGATCGATCGCGGTGAGTCTGCATTGTTTCCTGTCGGAGCAGAATACAAGTACGTTCTTGAGTTTACGGCTGCTACGGCTTCTGCTGTCATCAGTTGTAGCCGTGTATAGTTTTATCGCCTGATGCACGGCCCGCGACATGGCCAGCAACCGTGCTTCTCTGTTGTACACGTCGAAACCGTGCAAAGAAATTTCCAAAGGCACCGTCCGCACGCTCGGGTGGAAGTTGAACAAACCTGAAACTCAAAAGCAGCAGATGCCCCATACACTCAAACACCGCCAGCCAGAACAAAAACAAACGTTTTAAAATTATAATAAATTAACATAAAAGCGAACTCGGGAGTTCCTCCGGAGTTGCTGTGTGCGTGCGTGTATTCTATGGCGATCTAGAGCACAGGAGCAGCACTGCAGCGAAATGTTTATATGAGAG